AGTCAGAATCTCGGCAGGATTGATTGGATCGACGTGATCAGGAAGTACACAGATGGCAGCAAGCTGACGGAATGGGGCAGCCACTCTATATTGGCTAATCTTGATCTCAGTATCAGGGCAGTTGCTTTTGGGCGGATAGTAGTGTTTTTATAGCAGTTCGTATCACAAGTTGGTAACGTTGTCCACCCAACTCAAATATATACATTTCTAAACTGTATTAAAAACCAAGATGGATTGGTTAGAAGTGAATAACGTTTGTTTTTTTGTAGTATTTGTGTAAGATAAAGGTAATGATGGAAAGTCCATTAAGTGTTGCCGAATTCCGGGCAGATTGGTTAAATTATTGTGAATTATAGACGGAAAACAAATTCTGTCATGTCGAGTTGAGTGCTTTTCTCTTACTGCTGTGTCTGATTCCCCGTATATTTCATTGTGCCCTGTTGGGGATTCTCGGTGGTGTGAAAATCCTCGGGCTTCGTGCGACGAGAGCTATCAGACTAAATTATCTCGTTTCAGCGCATTTCGACTATTGCGTCTCATAGCAATGTGTCAGTAATGATTTGCAAATGGGTTTACTGAAAACACATCTTTTGACTGATACGATGGGACAACGAGAGAACCTGGAGCAGCCCTCGTGAGTTATCACTTTGGCCCATGACAAAAGGGGAATGCACAATGCACATGTAATTCATGAACTGACAATTATTTTCCGACGAGTAACGACCAACAGATATTATATTGGTGTGATCGGATAGACAGTGAAATAAGTTATAGCAAGTGAAGTTCGCATGTAGACTAGACATTCGGATCACTACAGGACTGGGTTGCGTCCGACACCGATTTCAGTCGAATGAATAGAAGGCAATATAAAATTGAGAATAGTTGATGTGAAAATATTCAAACCAACCAGAAGGCGAGGAACATAATGCAGGACAATAAGGATAGGGGTATGTGTTAATCACTCACAGGGCACTTTCATAGCACGTGTCACAGAGGGCTACATATTTCCCATCAAGCATTAGCTAAAACTCGTAATCTTTCCGTCTAGAACCAAACACCTTTAGCCCTGATCTCATATACCGCAACCAGACAGGTCGATGCCCTTCATACATACACGAGATGATTCAGGTACGAAACCATTCGGTCATGAGAATGCAAGAGAAGACTGGGAAAACTGAAGCACCGGAAAGCTTTTAACCGCCAGTTTGATATAATCCGGATAAAGATAATCAGCGGCCTCAACGGACGGGGCAAATTTCAGGCTTCAAGAACTACGTAACAGAAGAGCACAGATTTCATTTGAATCATCATTGTGTTCGAAAATGCGGAACCAGGAAACTGGTCACACGAATTGTAATTCACGAAACCACCTCCGCAAGACAATAGGTCAGCTGATAAGATTATAAAATGCAAGGTGAATCGCTTTTTACTGATAATAATACCAAATTGAAAATTATCAAAAGCAAAATAATGGGAAAACTGAGTGATCAAAAACTATTAAAGTTGGGACAGGAGACGATATTATCAATCGACTGATATCAGTGACGCGAATTCGAATGGATAAATAGAAATGGAAACTATTATTCATCGACCAGTATTCATTGTCGGAGAGCGTGAATGTCTTTAAAATTATCCTCCTTTCGCGCTCTCGGGGACTATATAATTACGATCAGAGGAAGACCCATTTTTAGCAACAGTTGAAGATAAAAGCGAAGTATCAGCTTGATATGGTAAGAGCAAGACTGTAGGTTGGAATCGATACTGAATATGCTGGTTTTGGGAACTAAGTAATTAAGATTAAAACTCGTACTTGATTTGCGTATAAAGTGAACGAAACCGGATCTGCATACCACTGTCCGATGACTACTTTCGGCCATTTTTGCCGCACCATCAGACATAAGTATGTCTCGTATCGTCCGTGCTAATAGGTCATCAAAAACATGGGTTGTTAGCAGTAGTAAAAAAAATTAGACAATGAGAGAAATCTATTTGAAAAAGTGCGAAATTCTTTAATTAGAGAAATTGGCCGTACAGTGTTTCTGATGGCGTAAAATAGCCGTCTGTGCAGAAGTGGAATCTGGAAGTCGTTGATTACAATGTTCACATCGGTACGCGTCGGAACCTTCATCCGGAAACTCTTCGTTGGTAAACGCATCTGCACCGCTGAACGATGCGTCGTCCTTTGCGGATTGTTGGTTGTCTGATTGAGATACTCGGTGTACTTGCTGTAGCAACCGAAGAGCCAAAATGAGACTATCTCCTGGCTCTTGTGGTTCATCTACCTCATCCGTTGAGAAAACGGTGCTGGGTGGAGCCTTGCGAGGGTCTGTCCACAGGCTGAAATAAAAACAACGAAGAGAAAACGGAACAGACAGCTGCTGATGATCTAGTCAGGGTTTGCATTTATTTTCGCAAAGAACAATGATCGGAAGCTAGGTTCAATTCCCATGGGGAAAAATGAAACGATGAACACCACGATGACATTAGAAAATATGGATACCATTGATCATCCAAAGTTGGAGTGGAAAAAACTCTTCAGCCAATGGACGAACTACGCCAACACACTTGAAAATGAACGAAGAGCAGTGACGCTCTTGAAGTTGTCCTTTAATTTGGTCATAACTTTGGAGCGGAGAAGTCGGTTGTTCTACGAAGATCATGCAATTTCATGTACCCCTATCAGATACCCCTTACATCTCCGTCATGCTATAGAGCACAGACAGATTCTGAAGCCACATGTATGGACAGTTCGACTGCTCGTGATTCACTATGGTCAACACGAGGGATACCATGTTTGAAACGAGAAAATGTGTCACTCAAATGAGGGAATATCTTCTATAGAATGCTAGCTAGACACTGGTCAAGTTCCATGCCACTGATCTGCATTGGTAACTGAGATTTCTTTGTGTGAAAACTGGAACAGTCAAACTTTGAATATTCCTATCGATGTTTTCCGCTGTGTGATGATCACGATGATGATGGTGAATGGACAAAAATAAACAGAAATAAAGAAAAATGATGGTTTTTTGGAAAACGAAAGATGAATTACCTTGTGCGAATGGCTCAATCAATTTACAGTATCAAGCTTGGATTAGCCTATTCGATTGTTCAGAGGCACCAGGCACTCTTGATGGTTCCATTGCGTAACAATGTGTAGCTCAGGGGTAAGGGTTTGAAGTTCCGAACCGACTGGTCGCGGTTCGAGTCCTGACAGGGAAACAAAAAGTACGCACTGCTGACGAGTCCCAAACAGGACGAAACAGCCGTCCAGTGCTCTTTGTTGGTTATCACAAACATTTCCATCACATAAAAATGCATACAAACAGTGGGGAATTAACGATCTCCCAAGGAGTGAAACCCACACCGAGAACTATCAAGAGTGCCTGGTACCTCTGAACAATCGAATGGGCTAATCCAAACTTGATACTCTAAAAAGATGAATTAGTTTTTGTTTGTATGAAGTGGTTTGCTACATTTAAGTCTGAACAAGCAACTTCAACTGGTTCCCCAAACCGCTAATATATGACGAGAAACCGACGTCTCGCACCGAATTTCAATCAATAAAGGTCTATATAACAAGACATACTCCGAAAGACTGTAAATATTGCGACTCTACTCATCCCAATACCGCCGACTTCGAGGGGACCTAATATTGGCATACTACATACTGCTTCCATCACAACGAAACTGCACCTTGACGTGGTGTGATAGCCTGCGTGCCTCAATGACCCTGCAAGCTACACAGAATGGCTTCTCACAGCCGTAGATCCCATCATGCCTGAAAGGGCAACGGGTAGAGGCCAAACAAAGCTCAGTCTCACAAAGCCAGCTGCTTGGGCACCTCCTGGCTTCCTTCCTCTA